AATCATTTTTCTTCCCTCCCCTCTATTGGCTCAGTAAATAAGGGAGAAAATGTTCCCATTGTGGCATTTCTAATAAATGCCTAAAGAAACCTTCACAATCTGTTGTTTCTGAGTATCTGTGATCCTTGGAAAAGTCAAAGTCAACATCAGGAATAATCTGATGTACACCACATGCTCACACAACAGACAGGCACCATCTAATCCATTCTTACAGACAAAGCCCAGAGTCAATCTGTATTTCCAATGCAAATTGTAGAGCCACTGAATTTTAGAGCTAGAAATCTAGCCCACTGTTAGCCCCTTTCTTACCCAACCAGGTTGTACGTGAGCAGGGTTGCTTCAGAATCAGAACAAAATGTCAGGGTGCCACATTTTGGTTCAACCAAGTTTCTGTTACCCACCACAGTTCTGGTCCGATCATTAATTTAATGTGACTGTGAAGTAATAAGACTCAATCCTGGGTGCCTGATGAAACTCCACTGATTTATTTTCAGTTTTATAAGAATTACTGGCAAAGAGTAGGGTTGTACCTTTCCTTTGATCAAAGCACTTGCTGCTCAGTTCAGGTGCTGAGGAAATTGTCAACATGCATGCTATGCTATACATGTTTTATTTTTATTTATTTATTTTGTTGTGTTGGAATCTCACTCTGTTGCCCAGGCTGGAGTGCAATGGTATGATCATGGCTCACTGCAGCCTTGACCCTCTGGGCTCAGGCAATCCTTTCACCTCAGCCCGCGAGTAGCAGCTGAGACTACAAACATGTGCCACCACACCCAGCTAATTTTTACAATATTTTTGTAGAGACAAAATCTCTCTTATGTTGCCCAGGCTGATTGCAAATTCCTGGGCTCAAGCAATCCTCTCACCTTGACCTCCTAAAGTAGATTACAGGCATGAGCCATTGCGCATAGCCTATACGTACTTTAGAATGTTCAAAAGTCTGGAGTCATCGAATAAAATCTTAACTGACAATGATGGAATCTGAGCTGTCAGTAACCTGCAGATTAGGGTTTCACTAAGAAGGAATCAAGAAGGATGGAAGTATCTCTGGGACTAGAAGTGTGATGGCTGTATTGTAATTGAGAATCGGGGAAATGGAATTGGTTACTGCCCAATCAGACAGAAATGATCTAGTTGAGGACATGAAGAGGGATCTAGGAACCAGCTAGGATAACCAGGACAGTTGGGAACTTCTCTAGCCATGGAAGGGGCCTGCGTTGCAAGTAAAAGTAGAGCACATGCTGGACAGGCCGTGATGGACAACAAGACAAGGCAATTCAGTCTTTAAATAGAGTAAGAAAGTATCAGTGGAACCAAACCACATGAGAAACTTGGTTTAACTAACTATAAATGCTAATGCACACCAAAGAGGAAATTTGACAGTCTTTGGATAGTCTAAAACCGGCCAAAAGTGCAAAGTTATCATCAATTAAAAACTACCAGGTACTTTTTCTATGACATTTTAAACACGGTTACTGTGCATATATTCTTATCAATTTTTAACTCTATGTAGTCTCTTCCCCTAAATGTTGATCAGAAAGTATTCAGTTTAATTTAAAATGTGTATTAATCTCCTATTACTTATAAGGTTATGTGTTCAGGGCTGAAAAGGGGATAAAAACCAATAGGACACCATCCACTCCCCTTAATTACAAGGCAGTAGATGTACATCATAAGGCATAAATCATCACAAAATGAAACTGAATCTCCTAAGTCAGTGAAAACAAACACAGGCAGACACACACACAGATACTATTTGGTATTTGGTTTGGTTGTAATTCATCTAAATTAAAGTCTTAAGTTGCTAAAAAGAAATATTTTTTATGGAGGGAATGTTTGATTTGGTTTTGTGTCCCCATTTTCTGCTTCCTATGTTGGAGGGAACCTTAAGAGAGGTCGTTTGAACAAGTTATCATGTCCCTCTAGTGGCCACTTTTCAAACTACAGCAGACATTACATAGAGAAGCCAGTCAGCCAGACAATTTCAAGAGCAAATCCGCCAAGCCAACCTGTTTCTGTGACAGCCAACAATACAGCTAAGGGAAAAGTGAAATCTTAGAGGAAAAAATACCTCCTACCCCATGTCATGTGTCACAGACACAGAAAAGGGACTTTGAGGTGGTAAAAATGTAGACTCTGAGGTTAGAGGAACAGGTTCAAATCCTGGTTCTGCCATTTCAAAACTGTGCGAGTTTCTCAGTCTGCTCATCTGCAAAATGGGCATGACAATTAAACCCAGCTATAGGGTTGTTATGAGAATTTGAAGAGAGAGTACTTAAAACATTATAATGGTGCCTTATCACAGTAAGAGCTCAATAATTGTTTTTACTAGTTGTAGTTGCAGTATTTTATGATAGAAACTAAATCAATGTATTTCCTTAAATTTTCTGAAGTTAAGATTTAAAAATAATCATTATTTTAATAAAATTATTGAAACATAATAAGTATATATGTAGGGTATCAAAAAGATCTGACTTTAAATCAGGTCTTTGATACTTACTAGTTATGTGTCTCTAGGGCAAGATATGTCACCTCTGAGCCTCAGTTTTATCGGCTAAAGATTGAAGTGACTTATATCTTGTTACCTCATAAAGTTATTTTAAAATTTCTATGAAATAAGGCATGTAATATGCTTAACAAAGTGCCATGTTTTTTGCAGGAATGTATTAAATAGTAGCTATTATGAAGATTATATGCAAAGCTATAAGAAGTGTGAATCCATATTCCATATTTTCCATAGAATTATACAATTGAGTGACAAAATTTTAGGAGAGGAAGAGCACACTAGATTTGAAGATCCAAAGAAGAGACTGGCTTCGATGTAATTGTTGAATTGGAGCACCATACTTAAGACAAAATGGAATTCAAGTGGGAAATTTGGGAGGGAGTGGGGAGCAAGAGGTCTGAGCTCTGGTCTGAAACACCATGGCTAGGACTTATAGAAAAGCCCAAGAGGCTCACTGGCAGCCATGCTCTTTGGAGAAGATCGAGGAATAAAAAGAGTAATGTGAACAAAAACCAAGAGGCATGACTGCAGTTGGTTATCAAAGACTGGCTTCCCCCAGGGAGTGGCCTACTCAGAATTCATAGTTCCTTCCCAGTTACACTTTCTTGAGGTCAGGGAGAATGTTATTCTAAGTTTGGCTGGCAAAATAGTCCCTGATTGCAATGGATGCTGAGGGTGTTCTGGGGGATCCACGTAAGGCAACTGAGAGGTGAGAGTGAGTGTCTTTCATCTTGATTGATACAGTTCTTTATCAAATTCTACTTTCTTTCTGAATTTTGTTAATCATTTCCAAATGACTTTTATTTTGGAAATGGCATTTTCTGCCATTTCAGCTGTATTTCTTTTCTACACATTTGCCCATTTCCTTTTACAATCTTTGTTCTCTGTACCTTTCCCCCATATTGTCCCTTGTTGTTTTTCTCTCTCATTCCACAGTTCCTTCTGCAGAAAACTTGGAACCTGTAGTATATAGGACTACTGGATTTTTAAGTGTCTTTTAATCATAGAATATCTCAAAGTCTAAAACCTAGTCAAAATACGCTTAATATTACCAATACACTGCTTTTTACTGAATTTGTGTATTTAAGTATCATTAAGAATTAGTTCTTTTCTATTTTTTTTTTAAGTAGAGAGAGAGATTTATTAAGCAGGAGGAACAGTATACTCCAGAGAATTAGGAGCGGGCTTGAGCAGGAGAGTGGCTCAAGAGCCAAGAATTACTTCTTGATGACAAAGAGAAAAATCTCATGTCTTGATTATACTCTTCACCATCTCTGAGTGTTAAAATGCAAAACTAATTGTTTTAAATGTAATGCCTGTGAAACATTATGTGCCAGGAATAAGATTTCTCAGAGTGGTTTCATACTTTCTCCCAATTAAACTTATCCGGGATTCCTGTGGTAACCACAGGCCACACCTGAGTGTTTCTCGCCTCTTGGGAAGCTTCACTGTCATTCCAGTGAGGTTACTTTACCTCTGTCGTTTGGGATCTTGCCCTCATTTCATTACTAATTAAATTCATTTTTACAGAGTCATAAATTAATTATTTGAGGTAAAATTACTGAAATCTGAGCCTTGTTCCAAGCTCCTTTTTTGACTCGGTAATTAAATTTAAGAGTTATCCATGTTAATCTTTATGAGTACAGTACGTGAAGGAAATGACTGAGGGGAAATGAAAGACGTCAACTTCTTAAGTAGTAGGATAGGCTCTGTCTTAGGGATAGGTTGGAAAATTAAAAAGTGCTCATTCCATCAAGAGTGTTGGAAAACTTGTTCAGATATCTTTAAAACTAGAGCAACTGGGGTCCGACTCAAAGTTCATTCATTACTTAAAAGGCATTTTCATTGTATAAGATCAAATATCATGCTTCTTTTTCTCATGAGGCTGGCACAGGTGAAAAATGATAAAGTGAGGCTTGGCTTCTTTTTTTATGAACAAGTATATTTGATGCCTAATTGTCGATGATAACTTGGCATTCCTCTAATGAATAGTCTTGAGCATTCATAATCTTCGAGAACAAGGACTTTAGTGTTATACAAATATTTTACCCTATTGGATTAGTAAATGCTTTGTTAATTGGCTGATCCACATTTCTATTCAAAGAGCATCTTTAGATAAATGAAGCTTTTAGATAAATGAAGTTTTACCTCAGGAAAACTCTTGGCAGACATACTGTGCCTTTGCCATAAGGTTTTCAAAATATCTTAGAGAAATAGTAAAAAGCAAACCTCTAGAAAAGAATATGAGACCTTGTTGCAAAAACCCATAACTCATCTTTTCCCTCAGGACTGACTGTCTTAAAACAAAGGCACATAATTTGGTTTTGCTCTCTGCTATACCAGGATGATAGCTACTTAATTTCTGTTATCCTAAAGCTGATGACTTTTACCAGCTCTATCTAGCATGAAAGCAGATCTGTTTTCCAGTTCCTCGTTCCTGGGGCTTCCTTATCAGGGTAGAATGAACTAACAGCTGCCTTGTTCTGTTCAGCTCTCAGGTGACGGGTATCCAGGAGATGATGGGGTGCATTAGGAGACGAGTGGATCATCTGACTGAACAGTGTTCTGCACACAAGGAATTTGCTCTTAAGAAGCAACAATTAACAGCCTCAGTGGAGGGCTACCTAAGGAAGGTAGTTTCATAAAATAAACTTAAACTTCTAATTCGGTGATAATAGATGGTATAACAACTGCAGTATGTGGGCATGGTGGTAGGATAGGCGCCTGTCTCGTCAGGTTTTTCTTATGTTCCACATGAGGTCCTGCAATTGAACACAGCAGAGTTGTACGTAATTCACCATTGTTCATCAACCATCCCTGCCCCAGGTGGTCTGTCACCTTGGGCCTTTCTCTCCACTTGTAATGGATCCAGAAACTTGGGAATTTGAGATTTGTTCTGATACTTGGGTCCAGAGAGATTCCAAATGCGGTGGCAGCTGTGATATTGATTTCTTCAGAGCTTGAGACTCAAGCTAATTTGGTGGTGGTAGAAAACAGTGGGAACTCAGATAGCTGTTGCTACTTGTCTTATTGCCAATTCAGAGCCAATCTGACTCTGGGTAGTATGGACTCTAGCTAGAGTAAGGAGATAAAGGATGTAACTGAATTAATTAGAACACTTCAAGAATCACTTTATTTATTGATTCACTCTACTGAAGATTAAATCATAGTTCTTCAAATCCATCAATTAAATGATCTAAGTATGTCCTTTTGTTTCATTATTATATGTACTGGGTTTAGTGTTTCCCTCAGCCTTAAAAATGGCAACCAATAGGGTGATCTAATGCTCATGCTATGGACCTCTTCTTCAAAATGTGCCTGTAAATTGGGTCCCATTCAACTTACAGAAAAATCCATCTCTTTTGGAATGTTAGCAAGTGCACTATCCTTTGAAGGTAATATAGATGATGAGTTCTTAGAGGATGTGAGTGTTTGCTTATATCCCATTGCTGTTAATAAAAGAAATATCTTTAAATATACACCCTCTGTTGGTGGGTCACTAATATTACCTCCGATGAAGAGTAGCATTAACAAAATATGAGGTTCTGAAATATTTTAACTATTTTAGTTTAAAACCAATATGTTTAAAGTATAATGAGAATATATAGAGTAATACTTATCTTCCTTGCACATACACATGCATATATGCAAAAATATGTTACTAAGACTTCAATATATTCTTTATTCTTAAAGGTAGAAATGTCAATTCAGAAAATAAGTCCAGTACTTTCTAATGCAATGGATATTGGTTCCAGTCTTTCTGAATCAGAGAAGATTTTGAATAAATATCTTGAGCTAGACATCCAAGCTAAGGTAAATAAAATAAGAATTATTGTTATGGCTATTATTTTATAAATATGATTTTTAAAATATGTGATAGCTATAAAACTTAATCCTAGCTCCCTTGAGGGTTGCAATTCTGGATTACAAGTATGTAGCAAATAGCGACTTAAAAACTCATACTATTATGTGTGTCTAAATTACTTATATTTATATATGTTCATTTATTAGGGCATTTGAGCTCAACTGAAATTCAGCATTCAGTCTGGTATTAGACAGACATTTGATTCCTTTTTTTTTTTTTTTTGCCTGGGCACTTTCTCAAAAAGCTACTCCTTTTTGGGGTGATAGAGGAGTTAGGGACAGTACTTCTCTAAGAATTTTTGTGATTTTCTGTTAGAGCAAATTACAAACAAAAAACTTACCAGAAGCAATGTGCATTATTGCAAGATACTGAGCAGGCAAATAAAAACACAATTGTTTCACACCCAATGTTTAGAGACAGAAAGGGCCCCATCCCTACCCCCACCCCCCCCCCCTTCTCCCGCTCTCTCCTACACCTCTCACATTGAACTTGGGTTCACAGATTTCCACTTGCCTCTCCATCCCTGCCTTGAAGTCCAAACTAGCCCCAGCAAGCTGTAGGAGGGAGGTGAGTGAAGCACCCTTTGCAGGTCGCAGGAAGAACCCTGTGACCCCAGTTCTCAGCAGAAGAGCCTCCTTCACAGACCACACCCCCACAGGAAACTCACAGGCACACCCATTTTGTGATAACTGGGGGTGTTTGTTTTTTCTTCTGGATTCAGAATGCTTAAAACTTGTTTCTGAACTCAGTTTTATTTTTTCATTTTAACAATTTTAAAAATGGGGAAGAGATTGCATGGAAAGAGATTCCCTGCTCCTCTCCTTCCTAGAGTGCTTTCAGGAAGCAGAGCTTGTAAATTAAAATTACCTTCATTTAACGAAGTTCTTGGGAAGCATATTAATCACAAGCAGGGACGCAGCCCTGCTTGCTGTAAAGGGTTTTTTTCTGTCATTTTGCGTGATTTCTCGGTTAGTTTCACGTGAGATTTTTCCTTGGTTTTTTCTATCACAATAATACATGTCAGGTCTGCAATACCTATGCATTCATTTAATCAATGACTAGGGTTCACATGACAGAAACTGCACATAGAAGAAAACATAGGAGAGCATCTCTAAGCTAATCAAATTCACTGATTTTTTAGGTTATTTAGGTCTGATATGTAACATTTTCCCTGCGCATGTTTAAAAACCCTTCTAGATCAAGATTTAAATAAGACTGCATTATTGATATGTTATCTTTTCATAAATTAGAAACGTGTGAACAAACTTTGTAAATTTGCCATCTCTGATATAACAAATTAGTTTAAGAATTTGCTAAAGCTATTGTTAAATTTCATAAGGCAGTCTTATGTATAATTAATTTAAATTATTTAAAACATTTCTGTCATTTTTCATACCAAACATCCTCTCTTCTATTTGTGACACAGAAAATAGAATCCTTTAAATAAGAAATGTAGCTTGTAGAGCCAAAAAATAATTTGAGATGGTTTTCATTTTCACGTGCCTTTTTTTTCTTTTTAGAATTTTGAAAGTTGTGTCTTTTTTTTTTTATTGAGGAGATTCTTGGTACAAATTCAATTAATAATCCTAATAGATAGATGTGCAGAAGGTAATGAGATGTGAATGTTCATGATTCCCTGTCAGCATCTGACCTCCTGTGCTTTGCTTTTATAGGAGACATCACATGAATTAGAAGCAGCTGCAAAAATCATCATGGAGAAAAATGAATTTGAACCTGATGAAGTGGCATCACTTTCTTCTAAAGTTAAATGGCTAGAGGAAGAATTAAACATACTTGGCCAGGGCATCAACTCCAGGTCACAAGTCTTGCAAGCTTATGTGGCATTTCTAAAGTCATCAGAGGAGGTATGATACTATGTGCTGACCTTCTTCAGTGAAGTGGCCGCTGCCCATCTCCCTGCTTTCTGTGGGGACATAAGCTCTGCCCTGGTGGGCAGTTCCATATCCTCTACCCCAGTGCATGGCCTCACTTATTGCCCTTTATTTTTCAGGGAACTATGCAAAGGCTCAAAGAGTAAGTTGTTTTGCTGAACAATAATACAAATATGTCTGCACAAATAAACAAAGTGGTTGTATTGAGTCACTTTTATTATGTACTGTAAGTGTTTACATTATCCTAAACACAGGACAAAATCATTTTGAAACAGTCAGCTTCTAAATCATGAATCTGTTTGAATAACTAAGCAATTAATATAGTTAAATTTAAAATATACAGAATTGGCACATACAGGCCACTGGGCTCTGTCTCTGATCTGTCTTGTGTGATTATTTTAACAAATTGCCTCTCAGAGCTGCTTCTGAGGCCTTATTTTTGCCAGATTACACTAGATAATCTCTAATATTTCCTCCAGTACGCTAGGATTCAACCTCTCAAAGGTCACTATTTCTGGAAGCTGGTGTCAGTAATAGAAATGTGTTAGGGTTCCACCTTATTTAACCATGGTTTCAGTGCATCCCCATGACATTGCAGATCACTCTCTTGTTCAGGGAGATGGATATTCCTTTAGTGGGAGGAAGAGCCAGCAAGGTACACTTGGAGAAAGCCAACCCAAGATAAGTAGTGTACTCAATTTCCATTTTCTTACCTCTGCCCTCCCACACCCTCACCCTTACCTCATACCACCACCATCCTGCCTACATAGATATATCTCCTGTCTGATCTCCTGTATAATATTTTCAGTTCTCACCGCTCTGGAGGGAAGCCCCTGCCCAATCCCTGGATATCTCAGGTAACCGCTGCATCCTTTTACACATCTTTACTTGATCCTTTGTTATTTCTGACTTCTTTTTAATTCTTGGCCCTGAGCTCTGCTGGTTCAGCAGAGGTATTACAACTGATGGGATCATCCTGTTAGGGAATATTTTTATATAAAACTCGAAATGATAGAGAAGCTACAAAGGCCTGCCTTCTGCATCTTCATGGCCAAAAGTGTACTTTCTTGGTTTCGACTGAAGCATTCAATTCCATGACCTGCTGTGGTCCTCGGGACCAGTAGCCTATCTAGGGCTGGAGCATTACCTTTGCAAACAACTTTAATTGAAAGAACATTTTAGCTCCCTGCTCTCAATATGTCTATTGTTCTACCTGGCAGAGCCTTCCATTCTTCCAATCCTGTCAATGCTCCCAGTCTATGATTTCCCTTCCCTTCTGACTTTCCTTTCTTCCTCACCAGCTTGGCTACTCATTTTCATTCCACTCTCCATCCCCTCAGCCCTGTCTTCCACCCTGACTAGCCCTGTCAACTCCCAATACAAGATCAAACCAACGCTGTTTGCTTAGCTTTTCTTTCCAAGCTTCCAGATGCTCCTGCAGGAAACCATACACCTGTGCTGATTAGCACCAGTACAAATGTATGGGTCTCTGCCTCAGCTGGGGTCCCCATATGCTCCCTAGTTGGCTTTCATTCTGTGGCTATTCTCAAGCATCTTACCCCAGTTTCTGGGCTTGACTCTCATCTTACCTCACATGTTACTGAAAACAAAATGAGACCATTCAGCCTAACGACCTTGACCTCCTTTTACTTCCAAACTAACCAACATAGTCACCTATCCTCCATGAGCTCCGATAAACTGAAACTCTTCTTCCTGTCCAACACTAACCTGTAATCACTGCCTCTCTATACTTCTACATCCTTCCATATCTGGCTCTAACAGTCATCCTCTATTTTTTAAATCGCCTTTCCTACCGCTTCTTTCCCCTTGTTCCACAGATAATGTCCAAATAGCCTTGTCTTCAGTAAGGCTACCATTACACCATTTTCCTTCCCATCACATGTGGACTCTTAGAATGGAAAGTAGACATTCTTTTTCTCTACTTGCTCGTCCTCTCCAGTCCTCAGCCTGCTACAGTTCTCTGTATTCCCTTTTCAATACCACCATTCACCAACTCTTCATTCCATTGAAAGTGTTCTCATAAGCCAGGTGCAGTGGCTCATGCCTGTAATCCCAGAACTTTGGGAGGTGAGCTCAGGGATTCAAGACCAGCCTGGGTACCTTGGTGAGACATCGTCTCTACAATAAATAAAAAAATTAGCCGGGCGTGGTGGCTTATGCATGTGGTTCCAGCTACTTGGAAGGCTGAAGTGGAAGGATCCCCTGAGTCCAGCAGGTTGAGGCTGTGGTGGCCGTGAGCAGCGTGCCAATGCGCTCCAGCCTGGGTAACAGAGTGAGACTCTAACTCAGGAAAAAAAAACGAGTGTTCTTATAAGATACCTGCTGGTTGACACATGAAATGGTGTATATTCAGTCTTCATCCTGTTTAGTCTCTCTGTAGCATTTATTTGACCCCACTCACTCTCACCTCCTTTGGTTTGTTTGTTTGTTTTTTTAAACAGATTTATTGAGGTATAATTGACATAGCATAAAATGCAATAATTTTTTTGTATATTAATAGAGTAGTGCAGCCATCATAGTATTGCAGTTTTAGTATATGGCTATCATCCCCAAAGAGCCTGGGTGTACATTTTTTTTTTTTTTTTTTTTTA